ACAGGCAAAGGAAGGAACAACCAAACGGCGAACGATGCAAAGAGAGGATGAGTAAGGCGGGAGGATGATCGACCAGAAGCCTACCCGGATTTAATCTCCAATTCTTTTGCCGTCGTTGATTCAATATTCCATCTGGGGATTTGGGGGTTAGGCTTCGTTGCATGTATGGAGGGATTTGGGATTTGGGGGTTAGGGTTCGTTGCATGTCTGGAGGGATTTGGATCTATTTGTATTCATAGAGGGTTTTGGATGAGAGTTGTGATTTTGGTGCTGGTGCGTGTCTGGTTGGGGCGTCGAGGTCGGGATTAGGGAGATTGGGACGACGAGGTCGAGCTTGGAAGGAGGAGGTGGGGCGGTGAAGTCTGGTTGAGGGTTGAGAAGCATCTGGATGGGGCTGGGGGCAGAGCAAAGCTCTGGTGGTGGTAGCGAGCAAGGGTAGAGGGGTTATGCTTGTGGCGACGAGGTTCTCCGCGGTTATTTACGGTTGACCGAGTTATTGTCGGTTAATCACCGTCGGTGTCCGGTTATCAAATTCGGCTGAAATCCCCAACCGACACCGACACCGCCAGCAGTTTTCGGTTGTCAGTTTCGGTGAATAACCGCCGGTTTCGGTTCGGTGGTCGGTCAAACCGGATAACCGCCAACCGATTATCACCCCTAAATGTATTGTTTAAGTAATAAACTAAATAAATAATGCATTGCTACCATGCATACATTGTAACAAATTAACAATCTCCCCTAAACTATCACCAAAAATCAAATGTAGTATGTGTTAAAAGCAAAAGCAGATTTTTTGTAACAGAAAAACTAACAAATTCACACTTGTTGACAAGGGCGGAGCGAAAGGGAAGATTGGTGGGTTCTAGCCTCTAGTACTCATATTGGCTCGACACCTATTTTAGTTTTGGAATGAAATTTGAAAAATTATGAGAAATAATATGCTTAAATGATTTAAATTTCAGTCTCATTATTATCAGTTTACAAATTTATCAATCAATTACAACTTATATTAAAAAAATATAGATGAGGCATCTATGATATAGCATATAGGCATAATTCTGGGTGCATATAGGGCTGTCAATTTGGTTTGGTTTGGTTAACCAAACCATTAAGTATGAAAAACCAAAAACCAAAAACCAAATCCCAAAAACCAAAACCAAAACCATTAAGGTCCTTATTGGTTTTTGGCAACCAAAAACCAATAAGGGCCTTAATGGTTTTGGTTTTGGTTTGGACAACCAAAAAACCAATATGTACTCATACACTCATATTTATTCCTATTTCCCTTCTTTTTATTGAATAAACGTCATAATAATGGTAAATGGTCATTACAAATTATTGGTTGGCATGCGTGTCAAAAGAAACAAAAAAAAAATATTTGTTGATAAATAATTTTATTCTTATTGGTTTCTTAATGGTTTCTATTGGTTTTTTGGTTTTAACCAAACCAAAACCATTAAGTTGCTTATTGGTTTAAAACCAAAAAACTGAAACCATTAGCTTTCCAATTGGTTTGGTTTTGGTTAAAACCAAAAAACCAAAACCAAATGGACAGCCCTAGGTGCATAGCATACACTATGTAAATGACTTTGAAACCATTTTTTAAATCTTAATACATACTTTGTAAATATTGCAAATGGATGTTTACAAATGTTTGATGTGGTATTAATAAATTATTTGTGTAAATTTTAATACTCTTTGAAATGTGCATATATAAACATATATTCTAATTCATATGAAACACTATGATTTTCACATAATTTAAATAAATCTACCCCTCTAATTGTTTATTCTTGACTTCTCAAATTGATAAATCATCAAAGTTTTTTTCTTTTCTCACAACCTTTAAAATATTATAATTCATACAATATACTATGATTTTTACATAAATTAAAATAAAACTCTAGCTCTAGTACTCTGATGTTATTCTCGACTTCTCAAATCCATAATCATCAAGTTCCTTCTTTGATCTCAATCTTGAATATGATCAATGTTTTTAGAAAATATTATGAAATATGAAAATATACGTGTAGGTCTTTCTAAAAATCGAAACATTGTCATCTTATAATTTTTTCTTTTCGAACGCACCTCAATTTAAATCGTGACTACGCTACTGCTTGTAGACAATCATCAACCTATCGAGTCTATGATTCTGAATATGTCCATCAAATTTCTGTAGGTGAAGGGTTTTGCCAATCTTCCATTTATTATTTCTAACGAAACTCAGTGTAGTTTGAGGATGCCAACTCAATAATCTCTTCAATGAGGTGAAATGCCTTAATTAGGTTAGTGATGGATTATCGATCCAAACCACTTGTTTGGGAACTTGTCTTAAGGGGTAACTCTACGACGAGACTTACTTTTGTCCAATCTTTAGAAGCACTTATAAAACGGAGTTTCTGGGCATGCTTTAGCATTGGAGCTAGATCTTTTTGATTCTGCTACTCCTATTCTCTAATTCCACTAACTATTTTTCTTTAGACTTAGCGAATTACGCTACAAAATTAAGTTCACACCCCCGCCAAACCTACTTGATTGGGAGATCAAAGACCAAGAACCACATAATAGACTATGGTGACGGGTAAGGCTAGCACCATTCCACACAGCACCCTGCAAAAAATATCAATTCAATGTGTCACAACTCACATCCTTTTTTTATCTAAAAAAGAGTAGCAGTAAGTATGAAATGGGAAAGAGAGATTATATAGAAAATTAGTGTATATATATTTGTGGAGGCATCTATTGAGTATTGAGTGTATAAGATGCATTTAATGTCAAAATTTATAAAGTTAATTTTTCGGAAAAGCCGTTGTTGTTTGCAAGCTCGAAAATATCTCTTTCACATGTCTCTATTTTGATTGATTCGCTTCTTTCTTAGTTTTTAATTGTGCAAAATGTAATAAGAAAACGTGTGAATGTAAGAAAAAAAAATATTTATGATTTATTTGTACTTTAAAGGGAATTTATTTGGTTCAACTTCACAAATTTATCCAATAACATTCATCTAAACAGTAAACACTTTATAAGGACAAATTTTATGAGTTAAAATGCATAATTTAGTTGTAATCGTAGACTATACCTTTTTTGTTAAAGTCTAGTTTTAAGGTAGAACCGATTGTAGACAAGTAAAATCAAAGTTATATATATTAAATTCATCCGTATTTTCCCTTGCTATAAGGACCAAAATGGATCAGCGGCTGAACCAGTAGAGTTGCAAATTAGTCACAACAGCGGTTCGATCCATTTGCTTGAATGGCTCAGGATGGATTGAATGGTTTTTAACGAGTATGCTCCGTGCCTATTACCTACTCCAACTGTCCAGGAGATTGCGGCCCCGGCCCGTCGTGGAAAGGTCAAGATGTCAGGCTACGACTCGATTGGCTTGGGAGATGGGGATGGGCTACTGAACCCAATGTTGAAGAGAAAGCACCAGACGGGCGTGGGCTTAGTTACATGCGTCTGGACTGGGTCCAAGTGGAAGACGAGTGGAGCTCGTTGAACAAAGCGTGGCGCGGGCCGACCAGAACCCACGAGGAGGAGTAGATGGGCAGAGCCTACCACACGAGCCGGTTGGGCAGCGGGTGGATAGAACGATGCTAGTATAACCCGAATCGTATAGGTCGTATCAAACCAGGTCGGAGTAGAACTGAAATGGTTCGAACTGAATCAGACATCAACAGGAAGTAGGAAAAAAAGGCGGCCCCCTAGGATCGTGGCATCAAACCGTCCTCCCAAGCGCACAGTGGAGATTGAGTAGGGATCGAGGACTCGATTAGGTTGAAGAGGAATCTAATCTGCCAGTTGGAGAAGGAGGACGAATGGGAGTTCATCAACCCACTAATGCATGAGGAGAGGCACAATTACCACGACAATGGGCACTAGGACGGTTCTTGGATAGGAGGTATGGAGGATATAACTCTGCTTATGAGGGTGATGATGATATGATTTTTGGGATCAAAACTTCGACCATTGAGTTCCCAAATTCAATGATCAAGAGCATATAGGAATTAGGATTGTGATTGTAGACTACATACAAGTGGTTCAAAACACATGATAATTGCAAGGAAAAGAAGGTGCATAAGGAGAAGATGAGGTTCCAATTTGGCAGGTCAGAAAGATGGATGACAGAGTACACAGGTAATCCCGTTTTGGATATTTCATTATTTGGATTTCTTGTTGGGTTATTTCTGTTTTGATACTTTGGATGCATTTAGACGTTTTTTATAATCATAAATGAGAATTTTGGTTAAGGTGAAAGTAGAGGTAGTTAATAGTAATAGTGTACTTATATATTCTGTAATTGTGGAGACTATTGTTCATTAAGAAAATTTCGAACAATAATTCAGGAGTCCTTATCTCTCTGTCTATCCTCCGCGCCGAAACCCTCACTCTTTCTCTTATTCATAAAATAATTTCCTATCTATTCTTCTAATATCTAATTCTCTAATTCCTCCAATTCCCTTATTGTCCTCAATTGCGAAATCCTAGACGTTAACACCTAAATCAATAGTTCTTACAAAAACCTTCAAAACCAAATCTCCCATCCAAACGAACCCGACTCTAAAAATACCAACAATTTCTAACTATACGGTACCACATATAAAGTAGCATTGTATTCCCATCTAGCTATTAAAGGAAATCTCCCTCTCCTCCAACCATCACACTAAAAGCTCGTTTGGAGAAAATGATTCGTGTCATGAATTCACTAAATTCACTAAATTCATAAATTCACTAGAAATTTATGTTTTTTTCTACTTTTTGTATCATAGATTTTATGTTTAGAAATTTCAAATCTCTAAAATCTAGGGATATCAAACCTCGTAGAGAGATTCATAATCTAGATTTTGAGATTTTTTCTCCTACCTTTTCTCTTCTTATTTATTTATTTATCACAACAAATACCCGTCCCTAACCAATAAATTCTCAATATTGCTCAAGGCATTTTGATTATGTTGCTTAGACGTTAGAATACATGTATGTCGAGTGGGTAATAACTAATAACTAATAACTAATAATGAAGATCCGGATGCAATGCAAGTTACTTACGCGGTGCTGAGGATGTCCGGATGGAGATCATACTCTTTGGCAAACACGAACGGAACTATCCCTTGGGGAAGTGCAGCCTGCAAGTTCATACCACATAAAAGCCCAAAATCAACCAACTGGGCCGGCCCATACAGCTATCATTTTACGAAAATCGAGGGCCGATCGAACCCAGCTCGCACCTGAACGATTGTAACTTGAAGGAGAACACCTCGAACGCCGACGGCAAGAGCGGCCGCAGCCGCCAACCCTGGGCCCAGCAGAAACCGAGCCACCATCGCCAACAACGCCATCCATTTCCCGCACGCTATCACCTTCGGCTGCAGCGCCATGAACAACCCTGCATCCATCATCCCATCCCCCATTAATTAATCAATCATATGACACGTGATTGTGGTCGATGAATGAATCAAAAGGAGCTAGCTCAATGGAAATAGTACTACCGAGGCTGAACATCGCCATTCCCAGTCCTGTGTTGGCCAGTATGGAAACCGAGTTCTTCACGATTGCCGGCAGCGTCAAATTCCACCTGAACGCCAGAAGCGACCAAACGACGCCGGACAGGCTCGCGTAAGAGTTAGGGTTTCGAACCAGCTTCTTCCACACCATAATCAGCACCAGCTTCGTCATTACACCCTTCGGCGCCATTCCCTTCTCCTCCTCCTCCTCCTCCACCACGTCAACCTTCCTCTCCCCTGCCATAATCAAATTCAATTCATTAACTAAATCACCAAAACTCATCTAATTCCGTGTCCAACTTCTCAACCTAAAACTAGGAAAGAAAGACAAAAAGAAAAAAAAGAAATCCCAACGGTGTTAGTCAACAGCTTTGACCGCACCTGTGATGTGAATATGATCCCAGCCGTTGGTCTCACCCTGAACCCCCGCCGTCCGCGTCTCAACCTCCCCGTCCGAGCTCCCCACCTTGTTTTTCTTCATCCCAATATTGGAATTATTATAATTGTCGTTGAGATTATTGCGGGAGTAGTAGTACCCGGGAAACGACGACGTATTGTTGGTGCCGCTCCAACTGAACATATGCAGCAGCTGCGGCGGCCGCGACATCGACCCCCCTCCTCCGCCGCCGGATTTATAGTGGTGCTGCTGAAGACTCTTTCTCCCGCTCACCATATTCTTTATCTCTACATTTCCGTCCTCCTCCACGAAATTCGAGTTCCTCGGCGACGATCTAACGGACCAGATTTCCACGCCCGTCAGATCCGAAGCCCGCGGCGGGCAGGTACCCGCCCCGGCCGCCTCCCGATACGACGACGCATTGTTATTATTATTATTAACCACCGTCATCGCCCCCGCCGCGGCCGCCTGTTGTTGTTGTTTGAGCGATTTGGTCGAGGAGACGGAAAAGCTGGCGGTGCTGCTGGCTGACAGCCTCGAGACCACCACGTGGATGTTCCCCCTCTCGTCCACGTCAGCGATGCTGGCCCCCACCACCGTCCTCCCGCCGCTGGACGACAGCGACACCACGTCCGGGTCGACCCGGACGGACGAGATCCTGGCGGCGGTCCCGGGGGCCGGGAACTGGTCGGCGATGAAGCGGACGGCGGCGCGGTACTCGAAGAGGGCGAGGAGGATGGTGTACCAGACGATGCTCTGGAGGACGACGATCTGGACCATGAGAGGGGAGGTGAAGTCGCCGTACATGGCGGCGAGGAGCGGGATTCCGACGACCAGGGTGTTGGGGAGGGTGGAGAGGGAGAAGAGCGTGATCACCCAGTCCAACGAGGAGGAGGAGGAGGAGGAGGCGGTGGTGTGGCGGCGGCGGCGGCGGAGGAGAGGGGTTTTGGAGAGGAGGAGGAGGAGGATGAGGAGGGAGGCTTTTTGGATGGTGTCGGCGGCGAGGAAGCGGTAGTTCATGCGGTAGAGGTTGTTGGAGGCGACGAAGGTGAAGGAGAGGAGAGGGACGGCGAAGACGGCGACGAAGCGGTTGATGCCGGCGCACTGCTCGGGGGTGAAGATCTTCCACCACCGGACGGAGGCGTAGGCGAGCCCCATTGTCAGGTATAAGGGGACGAGGGCGGAAAGGACTTGGTAGAATTCCTTGCCGGTTATCATTTTTCTGGAGAGAGAAAGGGCGAGTGGGAGAAGGAGAAGGAGAGGAGAGAGAGAGATTTGCTATTCGGTAGAAGAGGAAAGCTGTATTAATCTTGGGAGTGAATGAGTAGATATTTATATACGTATCTAAATCAGGGAGAGGGAAGATAGACGGTCTGAATTTCTCTTTTTCTAAAGGAATATATCTTGGATATAAAAACAAAATCTATACTCTGCATTTCTTTTTTCATGGAGTTGGGTTTGTTTGTTTTTTTTTATCGGAACCTGCGTTTCAGTTTTATTAAGACGAGAACAAAGTTACATTGTCCCTATCTAGTTGATCTAACAAATTCAGCGATGGTCTATCAAACCAAATCTTTGCAATGTCTCATCTCGCTCTCGAATGAGCCATAATGTGCGCCGTCTCATTAGCATTTCTACTAGCATATTGTACTCGCCCTTCTTCAGATTCAGCCGCCAATCTTCTTATGTTTCTAAGCACAATTTCTATCTCTGTTTGGATATCCTCCGCCATTCCCAGCTTCGTTACCACAACATGACAGTCTGTCTCCACCATGGGCGAGGCGAGATGGTGTTGGCAAGATAAGTGGAAACCGAACTCGACTGCCAGCGAGTCTTCCAGTGTCGGGTCTCGGACTCCTTTCATCCTTTTCACCGCTGTCAAAATGAAAGTGTCATCACTACAAGAAAACTAAGTTTTAGAGACAAATAATTAAAAATAATTTTTGTATTAGTCTCTATATCTAATCTTTGAACGCATATATATTATTTGCTTCGGTATGTTATATTATTTGTCTCTGTATCTGAATATTCTTTTAAATATTTTATGATATAAAATTAAATTAATAGTTTCAGAGACAATTTTCCTATTTGCTACTATAAAATATATCATTCATTTATGCAATGATTGTACAGAAGCAGATCTAATTGTCTGCAAAACATTTCATCGTATAGAGACAAATACAATAGTCCCTTTAAGTAAGTGTAATCTATAATAATTATTTTATTCCATATAGAGAAAATTTTAATTATATTTAAAAGTAAATACAACCACTACGTAAACATAAATTGTACCAAATGATCGTTTTATTAAATCATAAATATTCATGGAATAAATTATAAATAAATTTTTTTTGTTAATTTCATTTACTAAAACAACGTCATTTTATTTAAACACTGTAAATTTATCATGTCGGTAATAATGCTGGTATTCATGCCAGTTTCGTGGCCGGAATCGATTGATGTACCGCAATGACAAAAAATTTGAATTCCGTGTACTGGTATGATCGAAAGTAACTTTCATGTACCAACATGACTATATTGTGAAAGTTTAGGGGTGAAAGTGATGCTCTAGAGTCTAGCCTTCAAATTAGCTAAATAAGGTACTTAATTTTGGTTTTTGTTTTTTTTTTTGTGTTTGGAATTCGACTTTAAAGCTACAAAATAGCCGCCCGCGTTTTTTTAACCAACCCCATATAATTCCTCCATAAAATTAGTACAATTGTTTCCGTGTCCCAAGCTTGTAATGAAAAGAAGAATGGGCCTAGTCCAGGACAATCAATAGCACACATTTACCAATATCACCCTCCATGAACTGCGCATAGAGCAGGAAAAGGGGGATTAAGGAGGTTCCGGACCGGAACCTCCATATAGGATTGTTAGGATTAGGAAATATATTTTTCGATTTCACAGTACGGGAGAACTATTTTTAGTTGGGCTGACGAGGATAAGGCCCAATAATTATTAACTCAGTATTGAAGGGCTAGGCTTTCTAGTGTATCAGCCATCTCAGCTAGAGTGACTCGCGATCGAGTAGCAGCAGCCAGCAAGTAAGTGGATATCTGGTTTTTCTGTGCATGTTGGGGGAGCAGATCATGTCAGTAACTGATGGGTCAGTAACCCATCAGTAACTCCTTCTCTGATCTCCATGTGTCAGATCTCTTTTTTTATTTAAATTAAATGCGGAAGGGCAGGAAGGTAAAATTGCACTTACTCCTATTTATTGCTGACGATGACTTTTGACCGGACCACATCAGCGCCTCCTTCTCTCTCCTCGAAAAATCTTTAATTTTTCTTCTCTTAATCTTTAACGAACGATTCCTCACTCGTTTTAAGTTGGAATTTAATTTTTTTTTGCACAGTTAGATCAGATTAATTGTGCTCTTCAAAATGATATCCACTTTGATATTTTTTGGACATAAAATTTTTTTCCAGTTATTACCAGTCTATACCATATGGTATTTACTGGTATTAAATAAGACCATACCACATGGTATGGTAATATCAATATATATTTCGTTACCACCCAATACCATATGGTATAGTGTGGTAATATCAATATATATTTCGTTACCACCCAATACCATATGGTATAGTGTGGTAATATCACACAATACCATATGGTATGGAGTGGTAATATCAATATATATTTCATTACCACGCAATACCATACATTACCATAGGGTATAGTATGGTAATATCAATATATATTTCGTTACCACCCAATACCATATGGTATAGTGTGGTAATATCAATATATATTTTGTTACCACCCAATACCATATGGTATAGTGTGGTAATATCAATATATATTTCGTTATCACACAATACCATATGGTATAGTGTGGTAATATCAATATATATTTCGTTACCACGCAATACCATACATTACCATAGGGTATAGTGTGGTAATATCAATATATATTTCGTTACCACCCAATACCATATGGTATAGAGTCATAATATCAATATATATTAGCTAAAAGGAAAAAAACAGAAGGAGGGAGAGAAAAAATCGTCTTCTGATGCCTCTCATTTCCTCTTCCTCAATCAAGAACACCAAAATGCCAAAAAAATGAGAAAGATCGGAATTGAGGCCAACGAGTTGATGAAGAGAAGAAATGCAATGAAAAAGAGTGGCTACAATTTTTAATCGTCCATTGCTAGAGAAAAAAATGAAGAAGTAAGAGAGCAGATCTAGATTTGAAAAGAAGATTGTGAGAGAAAAAGTAAGAGAGAAGGAATAGAAAAACAGAAAGGATCTGGAAAGAGATTGAAAAAAGGAAGAGAGAAGGAAGAAAGTTGAGTTGCAGAGAAAAGACAATTCTCTTTATTTCATCGAAAAGTCAGCCATTGAAATGCGGAATAAATAAAAAAAATTAAAAATACAAAAACGGACAAAGATGCCCCTCTCCATGCCGCATCCGGCCCAGCCACACGATTGCTTCATCCCCAGATCTACGGCTCCCGTGTGATTACTGGTAGGTCAGTAACCAGTGGTTACTGACCCTATCTTGGACCCATGTTGGGCAATGTTATGGCTTACGTGTTAGAAGGGGAACTCAAATCTGATTTGGACAAGAATTTTAACGGATTCATCTGACTTAATTGTCTCCTTTTATGAGTCTACTATTATTTTCAAGTTACAACTAGTGAATTTTGATAGATGGGCGCATGTCACTGTTCTGTTATAGAATTAAGATGTGGTCCAACGTTTTTAAGTATAATAAAAATATTTTTTTAGCATCCTTATTTAAAATAATAATTTCAAATAGAGTTTTCTATTAACTCTTAAAATTTTATATTCTATGAGAAATCATTTTCTATCATCATCATTCATAATCCATTAAGGATTTCTTGCGTCATATAATATACAAATAGTGCTTTTAGAACACACATAAGACTTTAACGATGAATATACATGCCTCATTTATATATATGCACGAGAATAATAACAAATGACTAGCACTAATATTTATTAACAAATTTAAACATATCATCATAAGTTCATAATAATAATTAATTAATTATATACTACAAGTTGATAACATAATATCTAAAGGTCCATGTTCAATAGGGCCAAGCGGCACACCCATTGACTAGCTCTGCTATTACTTTGTGTGTTTATTATTCATTCTGCAATTTTATTGGCTTGTGGGATGCCAATATTCCGCCTAAATTGAAGGTGTTTGTTTGTCAAATCTTTAACCGATCCTGCCCACTACGGAAGCCCTAATTGAGAAGAAAGTTCATGTGCACCCCAAGTGCCCAATCTGTTGGGTAGAGCCAGAAACATTGGAACATATGTTTCTTTTATATTTGGAGAGAACAGAGTAGAGAATGAGACGAGTAGCCTTTCTGGAATTTTTCGTATTTTTATATTTGTTTTATTCAGGGATTTTTGAAACCGATGGATTGGGTTGCTGCTATATGTAAATCCGCATAAATGCGGCAGGGGTTGTGGCGACCACTGGAAATAAAGCGGTGCGGTATGTTCACTTTCTCGTAGTGCCAGCGCTTTACCCATTTCCACGTCGTAATTTCCGACGATTCCACCAGCTGAAAACTTATGTTCTTCCCTTCAATCACCACTCGTAGCACCGCGGCTTTCGGGACTAGAGATGACAATTTAGCCACCCATGAGTATTTCTGTCCAAATCTAATTTGATCCATCTACTATTTATTCTATATGGGTTTGGAATTGGATAGGATTTGAACAGGTATAATTGGGTTTTGATTTTGTTTTTAATTTGAAATGGTGGATTGGGCATGATATCCATCACTTTGGACCTACTTATAAATATTTTATTTTAAAACTCTTCGCCATCAAATACCCCTCGTCTCTCCGCATCGAGATGGCTTCCGGCAACTACGAGTATCAAGCCGTCGATGACCCCCGTCACCGCCGAACGAATACATATATATGTCCTTCTACCCTCGCATTTTCTCTTCTTCTTGATCGGTTTCTTTCCTCCCCTGCGAAAGTTTCCCACTTCTTCCTCTAGTGGGGAAAAAAAAACGTTCACAAAGTAAGCTCTGGGGATACTGAGCATCTCTGTGGTGCTGTTTCTAAGGAAGAAATAAAGGCAGCTTTATTTGAAATGGGGACTAATAAGTCCCCTGGTCCAGATGGTTATTCAGTTGAATTTTACAAGGCAGCTTGGTCAGTTGTAGGTGAGGATATAACCAGTGCAATTAGCTCATTCTTTCTTACAGGTTTCCTTCCCAGAGAAATTAACTCCACAGTGCTAGCTTTGCTTCCAAAAGTGGTGGGGGCTGATCAGATGA